CCCCTCTCTCTCTTGTCTCTCTTCCCATTCCCTACTGTCCTGACCTAAGAACTGCTCCCAACACTTATTCTGAGAAGGAAGTTGGTGAGTTTTTTTGTTGTTGTTGCTTGTTTTTTTTTCTTACCAGAGATGGGTTTATTGGTTGAAATAAACTTTATTTTTATCTTTTTAAAGTTAAATAATTAAATAATTTTCCTAGCCCAATTACAGTTTCCCCTTCCTTCCTCCCTCCTCTCCTCCCAGTCCCTTTCCCCATCCACTCTTTCTTTCTCTTCAGAAAAGGACAGCACCCTCCCCCCCTTGCCTATCAGCCAGCTATGGCATATCAAATTTCAGTAAGACTAGGCACTTCCTCTCCTATTAAGGCTGGATAAGGCAACCTAATAGGAGGGAAGGGACCCCAAAGCAGGTAACAGAGTCAGAGACAGTCCCGCTCCCACTGTTAGTAGCCCTACAAGAAGACAACTGTAAGATGCACAGGGCCTAGGTCAGTCCCGCACAAGCTCTCTGGTTGACAGTGCAGTCTCTATGAGCCCCTCTAAGCCCAAGGTAGTTTCTGTGGGTTTTCTTGTGGTTTCCTTTACCCCTCTGGCTCCCATAATCCTTCTTCCCCCTTTTCCACAGGATTCCCTGAGGTCCACCTAATGTTTGGCTGTGGGTGTCTGCATCTGCTCTCATCAGTTGCTGGCTGAAGCCTTTCTGATGACAATTGGATGAGGCACCAGATCTATGAGTACAACAGAATATTGTTAAGAATCATTTTATGACTATTTTTTTCTGGTCATGTTTGGTTCTATCCTAGGTCTCTGGGCTGTCCAGCTTATGAGTCCTGGCCCTCCCAGCATTGTCAGAAGTGGGCTTCCTCCCCTGCTATGGGTCTCAGGCTGCACCAGTCATTGGTTGATCACTGCTATAATTTCTGTGCCACCTTTACCCCAGCATATCTTGTAGGCAAGACAAATTATAGGTCAAAAAATAATGGGGCTGGGTTGTGGTCCCAGACCCTCCATTGGAAGTCTTTCCTGGTTACAGGAGATGATCAGTTCAGGCTCTGTATCTCCCATTGCTAGAAGTCTTAGCCAGGAATCACCCTCACAAATTCCTGAGAGTTTCCATTGCACATGAGTTCCTAGCTCATCCCAAAGATGCTCCTGATTCTAGTTGTCTTTCCTAGTACTCTCACATTCCATTCTCCCCCTCTTTCTGTTTCCATGCCCTCCCCACCATTGATGTACCCCGTCCACCTGTGAGGTCTATTCTATTTCCCTTTCACAGCGAGAGTCATGTATTTCCTCTTGAGTCCTCCCCCCCTTGTTACTTAGCTCTTTTGGGTCCATGGATTGTAGTATGGTTATCCTTTATTTTATGACTAATATCCACCTGTGAGTACATTCCATGTTTGTCTTTCTGGGTCTGGGTTACCTCACTCAGGATGATCTTTTTTTTTTTCTAGTTCCATCAATTTTCTGGCAAATTTCATGATGTCATTGTTTTTAACAGCTGAGTAATACTCCATTGTGTAAATGTACAACTTTTTTTTAAATCCATTTTTCAGTTGATGGACATCTAGGTTGTTTCTAGTTTCTGGCTATTAAGAATGAAGTTGCTATGAACATAATTGAACAAGTGTCCTTGTGGTATGATTGAATATCCTTTGGATATATGCCCAGGAGTGAATATCTGGGTCCTGAGGTAGGTCGTTTTCCAATTTTCTGAGAGACCACCATGTTGGTTTCTGAAATGACTGTACAAGTTTGCATTTATTCCCACCAGCAGTGGAGGAGTGTTTCTCTTGCTCTATATCTTGCCAGCATGAGCTGTCACTTGTGTTTTTGATCTTAACTATTCTGACAGGTGTAAGATGGAATGTCAGAGTCATTTTGATTTGTATTTTTCTGGTGGCTGAGGATGTTGACCATTTCTTTAAATGCTTCTTGGCTATTTGAGATTCCTCTGTTGGGAATTCTCTGTTTAGATCTCTACCCTATTTTTTAATTGAAATTAAATTTGAATTGGGTTATTGGAATTGAATTATCTGGTTTGTTGATAGCTAGTTTTTTGAGTTCTTTATATATTTTGGAAATCAACCCTCTGTGAGATGTGGGGTTGGTGAAGATCTTTTCCCATTCTGTAGGCTGCCATTTTGTCCTTTTGGTGGTGTCCTTTGCCTTACAGAAGATTTTCAGTTTCATAAGGTACCATTTATTAATTGTTGATCTTAGTGCCTGTGTTGTTGGTGTTTTACTCAGTTTTCTCCTGTGCCAGTTTGTACAAGGCTGTTGCCCATTTTCCTTCTGTCAGGTTCCGTGTATCTGGTTTATGTTGAGGTCTTTGATCCGTTTGGACTCCAGTTTTGTGTAGGGTGATAGATTTGGATCTATGTGCATTCTTCTACATGCTGGCATCCAACACCATTTGTTGAAGATGCTTTCTTCTTTTCCATTATATATTTCTGACTTCTTTATCAAAAATCAGGTGTCCATAGGTATGAGGATTTATGTCTGGGGTTTTAATTTAGTTTCATTGATCAACCTGTCTGTTTTTATGCCAATACTATACAGATTTTATTGCTATAGCTCCGTAGTAGAACTTGAAATCGGGAATGGTCATACCTCCAGAAGTTCTTTTATTGTACGGTATTGTTTTAGCTATCCTAGGTTTTTTTGTTTTTTTCAAATGAAGTTGAGTATCATTCTTTCAAGTTCTGTAAAGAATTATGTTGTAATTTTGATGGGGATTTCATTGAATCTGTAGATTGCTTTTGGTAAGATGACCCTTTTTATATGTTAATCATACCAATCCATGAGCATGGGAGATACTTCTATTTTCTGATATTTTCTTCAGTTTCTTCCTTCAAAGACTTAAGTTTTTGCCAAATAGGTCTTTCACTTGCTTGGTTAGAGTTACACCAAGGTATTTTATATTATTTGTGGCTATTGTGAAGGGTGTTGTTTCCCTAATTTTTTTTCTCAGTTCATTTGTCATTTGTATATAGGAGGGTTACTAATTTTTTTTTTAGTTTATTTTGTATCCAGCCACTTTACTGAAGGTGTTTCTTAGCTGTAGAAGTTACCTCATAGGATTTCTGAGGTCACTCGTGTGTGCTGTCATGCTTGTTTTTTAATAAGCTTACAGTGAAGAGAAAAGATGGCTAATGCACACCTGAAGTCCCTGTGGCAGAGCATGACCCAGTTAGGGCCCTTGCTTGTGGAGAGGTGGAACTCTGGTCTGTACATGTCTCTGGATCAGGAACACAATACTGTAGTATTACTTCCTTTTCTGCCTAAGTCTTGGTATCAAAGCATTTGTCTATCCATTCAGACAGAAATCCTATGTACCTGTGGTGCTCTGCTACACCAGACATGTGTGCAGTCACATTTACACATATACATGTGGGTGTCCATGAAGGTCAGAAGAGGGCCCTGGGTCCCATGGAGGTGAAAGTACAGGCATGTATAAGCTCCCTGATGTAGTTACTGGGAACAGAACTTTGATTCTTTGCAAGAACAGCAAGTGCTATTAACTCCTGATCTCTCTCTCCAGCTCCACTTCTTTTTTTTTTTTTTTAAATGGGTTCTAGCTGTTTATTTTATAATTGTGCCAAAATATAAATAACATAAAATTTTCTATTTGTAGCTACTTTCTAGGGTTTATTCATTCTACCATTTGATCCCTCCCTCCCCAGGCAGGGTTTCTCGGTGTAACTTTGGAGCCTGTCCTGGAACTTGCTCTGTAGACCAGACTGGCCTCGAACTCACAGAGATCCATTTGCCTCTGCCTCCCAAGTGCTGGGATTAAAGGCGTGCATCGCTACTGTAGGCCATACCATTTGATTTTTTAAAATTTCTATTTCTATAAGTTCTGGCCACCATATACTTAATAAGGACCATCTCCTGCCCTGTGCTGAGGTTGGTAGATCATTGAATAATTAAGAAAGAAGTGTCAACATGGCCCCTGCTCTCAGGATCTCTGTTCTTAATCTCAAGGAGATTAAGTCTCATTAGGGAAGCTTGATGTATGTTCACCGGTCAGATAATGATTCGTGGCATGTAATCCCTGCAGAGTTCAAGGAAAGCTTTGTATAAAAGTGATACTCAGCCTTATCAGGGGCAGTCTGTCCATACTGCAGAAAAGGAGGAAGTCGGGGACTTGGGGACTGAGATACGGAGCCAGCTATTTCAGTCTTAAGTCTGTTGTTTTCCAGAGAATCTGTTTTTCTAGGGTGGAGCATTTGGGTGTATTACTTGGGAAATAAATTGAATATCCTAGCAGTGGAACATGTTATTGACACATAATTTGTATCTTTGAAAGTCACAGGAACCAAATATTTAACTTGTAATATAAACACACATTAAAAATCCAGATTATCAAGGCTAGAGAGCTGATTTAATAGTTAAGAACACTTGCTGTTCCTGAAGATCCCCAGTTCCCACAGAGTGGCTCACAACTGTCTGTAACTCCAGGTCCAGGGGATCGAATCCCTTCTCCAGCCTCTACAGGCATCATGCACACACAGAATATATATACTTGCAGACACAACACTTATATATAAAAAAATAAAAGTCTTTTAAATCCAGATTGTCTAGTGGCAGCAGAATTAACTTATTATAATTTTGTGTAAATGTCTCTGTTCACAGGAAGGGCATTAACCCTTTTGATGCATTATCATATGGAATAGATATTTCATTAGTGAATTTAGCTCAATTGCAGTTAGAGTTGTCATGTGAAAGCATTGTATAAAAAAATCACATAATGAAACATACATTTATTGAAACTTGAATATCTGCTTCTCTGAAATCTGGTAAAAAGTTGAGAGTGCCATGTATTGTGGGTTTTGCTTAATTCCGAGTATGTCCAGAGACTGCAGTGATTAGTGGCTAAAGATGGTGCCTGTTTTGTTGCCGTACATCTGTGTGAGTCAAAGATTTCATCTGGACAGTGCAGTGCCTTACAACAAGTACCACAAAGTAAACATCTTCTTTCTCCTTTCGTTTCTGCAGGCAGGCAAAGGTACACTGGGGACCACCATGTTCACGTGACATTAAGAGGAAACGGAAACCTGTGGCCTCAGCATCTTTACCTAGCTCTAGTACAGGTGATTATTTATAGTTGTCATTCGTAGAGCACCTGTTGTATACGGAACACTAAATGATTATTTTATATACCTTCCCATGGAATCATGATCAGTGATCTGTATTCCTTATCATAAGAAATTGAGATGCTGAGAAGTAATTTCCCCAGTTCTCTCTGACTGTGGAGTCTGCTTTTTCATTCTCTCACTTGGCCTTTTGTATTCCTGCCAGCTGTTCCCAGTCATGTGAACCTTCTCTGTAGCACAGACAGGAAGTGAGGTCCATGCTGATAAACATCCTGCTGGATAGCAGCTTGGTCAGTAGTCAGAGGTGATATGGGTTCATTTAATTTCTGCTTTAAAAAATAAATTTTATGGCCAGGCAGCAGTGGCACACACCTTTAATCCTAGTACTAGGCAGAGGCATGTTGGTCTCTGTGAGTTCAAAGCCAGTCTGGTCTACAGAGTGAGTTTCAGGACAGCTAGAGCTACACAGAAATCCTGTCTTGAAAAACAAGCAAAGGTAAATAAATAAAAATAAAATAGCAATTTTATTTTACATATATTAGTGTTTTACTTGCTTGTAGATCTGTATATAATATGTGTGCCTGGTGCCTATGGAAACCAGAAAAGGGTATTGAATTTCCTAAGACTATAATTATAAATGATTAGAAGCCATCAAGTGAGTGCTAGAAATAGAACCTGGTCCTTTGGAAGAGTAGCCAGTGCTCTTAACCACTGATCCATCATCTCTCCAGCCCCTGTTCCCCCCCCATCGCGCCCTTGCGGCCGGCCCCCCTCCCTCCCCGCCTCCCTCCCTTCCTCCCTCCCTCCCTCTCTCCCTCCCTTGGCTATTTTGAGATAGCGTCTCACTATATAGGTCTGGCTGTCCTGCAGTTCACCGTGGAGATTATAGACCAGGCTGACCTTCAACACATAGAGATCCATCTGCCTCTGCCTCTGCCTCCCAAGTGCTGGGATTAAAGGCATGCACCACCACACCTGGCTCTGTTCATTTTCTTAGTTGGTTTATATGGCACATTGCATTCTCATTGGTTATGTATAATAGTGTGTTTATTTTTACTCATCATGAGATGTCTAATTAAAAACATTTTCAGGTTAAACTTTTTCAGTTTCTATATAAAATTCATGCCAGTTGGTAGAAGCTAAAATATTAACTATCTTTGATAGGAGAATGACCAAGAGAAGACACAGAAAAATCTGGGCCTCTGGAAATGTTCTACATTACAAATCAGGCAGGGGTGACATGGGCATTTATATATGTATGTAAAAGTTCTGTACACTTAAGGTGTGTGTATGTGTGTGTAAATTACACGTTATCAAAGGTATTACATATCAAGCCTATTATAAATTACTTTCCTTAGATAAACTATAGATTTAACATCCCTTATTTAAAATCCAAAATCTTAAGCAATTCAATGTATGAAACTTTGGAGTACTGATATGTACATGTGAGTAGATTCTCTACCTGACTGTACTTGCAACTCAGCGGTCAGAAGCAAACAGTAAAATAGCATGTGTGTGACCTTTCAGCTATGAGGATAAGGTATTTGTGAAACAAACCAATCTAAACCCAAAACACTTCTGGACCTACACAGCTTGATTAGAGCTTACTTACCCTGTGCTACGCATTACACATTTCAGGTCAGTTAGCTGAGTGAAGGCAGAGACCAGACAAGTGTGGGATCAACTCCCTTCCTTCTCTGTGCGATTGTTCAAATACTCTGAAATGGACCTCTTCGAGCTTCTGTCTGGAGTGACTGCTAATTGTTGGCTCGTCTGAACAATCTTAATCACAGATCTAATGATTATGTGAATTTTTATAGTGGTTTTCACCTGCACAGGCTCTGAGCTAGGCACTTTGTATGCACCTTTGCCTCAGGTGTCCAGGATAGATGCAGTTCTTATTATTTCATTGACAAATGAGCAGACTAAGGTGTAACCTTCTGAAGCCAAGTGTTAGTTCCAGGGTCAGGGAGATGTCTCTCTGCTGCTTTGGATTGGCCCTTTAAACTCCCAGGTGTCCTTTGTATGCACAGTAGGATTGATTATTTCAGACTGAAACTCGGCTCTTCAGCTAGTCTGTACTATTTAAAGAATTAAAATGAAACCTTTTCTCTTAGCTTTTATTTTATTTTTCCCTCTTTGGTCCTATTTTTTCCCCTTATCTACCCCCCCCCCCCCCCAGTTTTGGGAATCAAACCTAAGTCCTCATGTCAGTTGGCAAACGCTCTACTGCTGAGCTACAACTCCAGCCCTACTTTAATGCTTTGTGAGATTAGAACCATTGGGAAGAGTTGATTTCACATTCAAAGCAGGAAATGTATGTAGTGTACTGAAGAAGACATTAACTGTTTCCCAAGGGAGCCCACTCCTCTGCTCTCACTTGTTGACTAAGCCCTGCTTCACTGAGCACTTTCTTTTTTTTCTGCTCACAACCCGAGTGCCCCATGGAGGTGAAGGACACAGCCTGAGCCTGTGCCATCAGTCAGGAGAACAAATGGGCTTGCTCTGCCTACCATCGGGCCATCTCCGATTCCACCTCTTTTATAGAAATGAGTGATGAAGAGAGGTGCGTCCCGCTTTGCCGCTGTATTAATACACATCAGGGGCCAGCTCCTGGCACTAAATCACACAACTGCATACATCTGTTATCAGCTCTTCACCAGTGTGATGAACAAGACTGCAGATAGAGGCTTCCTTGTGTCATTCTTTATAGGATTTTCCTAAAAGAATAAATAGCTCAGATCTCTGCCAACACTCTCCCCTGTCACTGTGATGAATTCAGCTTCTTTCTTAAGCATGCAGCAACAAATCTCTGCCCTTCCCCCACCCGTAGAAAGTTTTGAGTTGAAATTGACTGAATTTAAAGATCTTAGTAAGGCTAGAGGGGTGAAGAAAGGAAAAGATACACACGTCTTCCTTGGTTTATTTGTTTGTTTGCTTTAGTAGTACAAAGGGCTGGGGAAAGGACCCTTCCAGGGTCATTAAGTAGTGCCTTCTTGAGCTATAGCACTATTATTTTCTTGTTTATGTCTCCATGCCCCTTCCCTCCCTGGCTTTATAGCGTGCAGAGGTTTAGTGCACAGTGTTGCTCCCTGGATTCCAGTGAGTAAGTGTGTAGACTTTTTCTAAGACTGGTATCCCAGAACAGGAATTTTCCAGCAAGCCTCTACCACATGCTGAAATGACCTAGCTAGCTGTATTAGGCTCTTAAAGAATGTATTTCTTTTTTGACGGGTGTGTGACTGTTTTCTTCAAAATTTGAGAATAAGTGGCTATAAGAAATGTAAGGCAATCCAGGCAGTGATGGTGCACATCTTTAATCCCAGCAATCAGAAGGCAGAGGTAGGCAAATCTCTGTGAATTCAAGGCCAGCCTGGTCTACAAGATCTAGTTCCAGGACAGTCTCCAAAGCTATAGAGAAACTCTGTTTCAAAAAAACCAAAAAAGAAGTAAGGCACTCAGACTCGTATTGAACCAGTGTGCTTGACATGATTTTCTTCATCAGAGCCTTTGACATTCAGACTCCTCCTCCTCCTGAAGGTAAACCCTGGTGTTTAGAATAGGGGATCTGGGGCCATTGAAGATTCCATTCAGAGCCTGGATGATTTGGACTATTCCTAAAGCCTTTTTCCAACTTTGCATTCCCCGGGATTACAACCATCGTTCAGAAGCTGTATCACAGATGGTCTCTGAGCACTAAGCCAGCCATGTGTTCAGATGGGTGAGAATTTTAATCTGTTTGTTCACTGCTGTCTCCCAACATCTAAAAAGTCACCTAACACTAGAGCAGACTCACTTCTTTTTTTTTAATTTCTGTTAGCATTTATGAAACTAATGGTTGTCACTCTGACACCTCATGTATGTAGGTATGTGCTTTGTTCATCTTCAGTCTCCTGTCATTTATTTACTCCTCTCCCTTCCCACCATTCCCCTAAGCACACACTTTTATATATTGTTTTCTTAGTTATTATTGTGATATGTATAAAATACATATAGATATGTATAACCGATTGAGTCCATTTAGAGTTGCTCATATGTACAAGTTTTTAGGACTGATCATTTGATATTGGATAACCACTTAAAGGTCTCTCATCCCTGGGGGAGACTAATCCGTCTCTCAGCAGACATTAATTTTCTGTAGTTCTTCATCTAGGGATGGGGCCTTTGGCTTCCATCAAAGTTGGCATGACAGTTGATATTGTCATTGTTTGGGTCTTATTTAGGCAGCCATATTGCTGATATTTTATGGATGTAGCTTCCTTCTCTTATATAGAAGATATAATCTCACAACAGATGTCCCGGTCTTTTAGCTCTTGTGGTTCCTCCACCTTCTCATTAGTCTCTAAGCCTTAGATGTGGGAATCGTGTTGTACATAGACATCACCAACAGTGCAGTAATGGTGCTTATATCTTGGGAATAACCAGCAGCTGTCTGACTGGTCTTAAGGCCTGGTCCACAGGAAGAAATTCATACCTGGTGCTCTCAACCTAGATTACTACACATGACTGGTGAGGTCATGTAACCTAGAAGGAACCTACTGTTGTCACTTTGTTAAACCAGTGCATTCTTAATACTCTTCCTCTACCTGTGGGATGAGTGTGGCTCTCAACCATTACCAGTAAAGCTCTTCTTCCAAATAGATGGAGACCATTCCAGTTAGTCAAAACTAACAGATCAGAATGTGAGAGAACTGACCATGGGGTGTCTAGCTCCAGTGTATCTAAATAAAATTATTTTAAAGTCGTGGCAGTATTCTCCATATTTTTCTAACCCCTTGGAAAATATCTAATTGCTATAAAAAGAATACTAATACATTAGGTGTAAAAGAAAACAATGTTGCTAGTAAGAAAAATGTCCCCACTCTCTTCAGTGGGAACAGTTTTCGTACACTTTTGTCTTGTTTTGTTTTGATCATCACTTTTGTCTTTAAAGTAGTTTTAACAGATAGATGCATCTCTAAAGGATACGTTGTCTGCTTTTTAAATGTTTCTGAACCTTGCACAAAAGAGTTTATATTTTATTAAGCTTCACCCAGTTCTGTTTCTGAGATTCATGTGTGTTTTGTCGTGCAAAATCTCTTTGTTTGGCCAGCGGTGGCGCACGCCTTTAATCCCGGCACTTGGGAGGCAGAGGCAGGCTGGTCTCTGTGAGTTCAAAGCCAGCCTGGTCTACAAGAGCTAGTTCCAGGACAGGCTCCAAAACTACAGAGAAACCCTGTCTCGAAAAACAAAACAAAACAAAATCTCTTTGTTTGACTGCCACACATGATTCCCATTGTATGAGGGAGCCTGTGCCACAGCCCAGCGATCTTGATTGTACTGGATTGTGTCCTATTTTATACCATTGTCAAAAGCACTGTGTTCTGGGAGAGGATGGTGCAGGCATTCTTCTGGGTTACCTCACACTCATTAATGGTGGTCTCAGAGACCAGACAATACTGGACCTTGGCACAGACATGACTGGAATCCCTGAACTTTTCTGGTAAAATGTAAAATTGTACGTCTATGGCAGTTTCTCAAGACAGCCATCATAAAAAGGCCACGAGATCTCCCAACTCTGTGCTGCATTATATCACCTAAAGAATTAAAAGCAGAAATTTTTAAAAATTTTAAATTATTATCATTTTATGTGCATATCTGTTTCGCTTTCATGTATGTCTATACACTGGGTGCATGCAGTGCCCACAGGAGCCAGAAGGTGTTGAATAACTCTGGAACTAGAGTTACTTAACGTTGTGTACTTCCACATGGGAACGGGGAATTGAACCCAAGTTCTGTATAAAAACAGCCAGTACTCTTAACTGCTGAGCCATCTCTCCAGCCCCTAAAGCAGAGGTTTTCCTATATTGGTGTGCACAACAACATTGGTCACGGTAGAACAACCCAGATGTCGGTGGCCAGTGAACAATAAAATGTGGTTCTTGCACACGTGGGGTGTCACTCAGCTTGAGCCTTTAGCACTCAGAACCTTGCTGTCTCGGATAAAGGCACAGTGAGTGAGCCAGACAGACACAGAAAGACAAATAGTAGATGATTCCACTTTAATGAGTAAACTGAATAGTAAGTTAAAGACAACAGGAGGTAGAGAGGTGGTTACCGAGCTGGGAGGAGAAGGGGTGGGGAGTTAGTGCTGACAGTGCACAGAGCTTCCACAGCTTCCACTGGAGTTGGTGAGAGCTTTCCACATCACTTGCTGCAGAAAACAACAGCCAACAGCTTTTCAAGGATAGACTGTCACTGAGGTTTCTGACTACATAGTAAGGATAGGGATAGTTCTGTGAAGTCCTTTCAGTTAAACTTGAACAATTGACTACCACTGTGCTGCTATGGTTGAGATGCCAAAACATTTGAAAGCTACTGTTTTTAGGAAACATATATAAACTGTGGTAGGGTCATGTTATTCAAACTTTTCTAATGTTAACTTCCAATACAAAGTTGACATTTGAGTTTATCTGCGGATATAAGATAAAATGGGGTAAGTCCTTCTTATTCTTGTGATGTGGTTTTTGGTTGTTTAATACTGAGCAAAAGCAGTACTGTAGCGCCAGCACTATGGGATGGTTCACATGCCGGGGAAAGGGCTGGAGATTTAAACACATACACACAGAGACAGAGACACGGGGACACGGGTCATCCTTGAAACAAGAATGCCAGCTTTATTGTGCTATAGGGATCCTTAACTGCCAGCCACGCCCCAGCTCCTGGGATTTTCAGCTGTAAAGCTCACCAGGACCCACTCCACTGCCATCAGGAACTCATGAGGGTCTCGTGCTCAGAGCAGCTGCAGGCACAGGAAAACAAGTTGTTTGCTCCGTTCACTCCAGCAGGCAAAGGGTCTGAGACAGGCAAAGTCAAGGGGCCAGGGCTCTGCAGTCCCCAGTGCTGGTCATGGCCTTTTGTATTTGTTTTTGTGACCCAGTCACTATTAGAAAAATACCAAGGCTATATTATTGGGTAGACTTAGTGGATGTAAAAGAAAAGTCTAGAATGTACTGTATTTTACTATATCTAAGTATATTTTTTACCCTTGGCAGAGTGAATGGTGGTTTGTTCTGATCCATTCAGGGGCACTTGGAAAGGTGACGTGTGTTGCTATTGGCATTCGGTAGACAGGGTCCAGAGTGCTGAGTGTTCTGGGTACACAGCACAGCTCTGTACCTTCCTTGACTATCCAGTCCAGAGTGTCTTAAGAAACTTCATTAGAATACCATGCCTGATGCTGCTTATTTCCTATTGTTTTCCTTGTTGTATTTACTTCTAACATCATCATGTTGAGGATCAAATGGAGCCCAGTATTTGAGCTTGAATTGCTATTTTTGATCTCTGTAGTTTAGTTTCCTGATCCATAAAATGGGAATGACAGTTCCTACTTCTAACAGTTGTTAAGAAATTTGATATCATGCAGGTGTAATGGCACATGCATATAATCCCAGTGCTCAGGGGCTAAGGCAAGAAGACCATGAGTTTGAAGCCAGCTTGGGCTACATTATAAGACATTATTTTTAAAAATACACATGCATATGGGAGTGGGGGGAAGTGGGGTAGGGAGTCCTAAGTATGTGATGTTCAACAGAACGGTGCCGGACACATGTGTGCTCCACGAGTAAAGTGGTTTAGTTTTTTTCCTGTATCTATTCTACTGAATTTATTTCTGGAGAAATGATTTTGTAAATTTCACTTTTTTTAAATGAAGAAAATAGTAAACCTTATGAAGCCACTTAAGTGAATAGGACATGAAATATAAAGATTAAGAAACGTATTTCTATGTCCCTCTTCCCCTAACTTCTTACACTAACTCATCTCTCTTTCCTTCTTTTGTGAAACAGTGCACCCAGATGTGCTGGAGCTAGCCACCCCAGCCCAGAAGCCTCCCCACTCTGAGTGGTTGGACGGGATCTCTGCAGCAGAGAAAGCCACTGCCTCAGCTCCAGCCACGTTTTTCAAAATGCCACATGAAAAGAGTTCCGGATGCAGCTAGAACCCAGTAGCTGATGGATGTTGAAACTTTGTATTATACAGCCTTGGTGTCCTAATAGGCACCCCTGGTCCTTGCACCACCATGCCCCACTCCTCTTCACATGGAGTGGTGGCTCTTTCTTTTAGAAGATATTATTTGGGGAATCTTTTTCTGTAAAGCAGCAGGGCAGCAGTTTTCTTTGAAGGGGGCAGGGCATCTTCTGTTGTATCCCTTACTCTGTTGTTAGCCCACTGTTCACTCCGCTGCTTTCCTAGAGCTGATGCTCCTTGGCAGCTGTGTCTTTGTTCTAGTAACAGCTTTTGCCTCCCTTTTGCATAGAGCTTTTACTATCACCAATGAAGTCCCAAATTCACAGCCAATTCCAAACACATTCCTCCATGGAATGTGTCTATGCTTGCCACCGAGCCTTTATTTACTCTGTGCCGGTAAGATACACCAACAAGTTCTCAGTTTGGGGCCTCAGAAGAGACACCAGCGCGAGGGGTTGGGAACTTCTTCCACTGGGCTCGCACATGGACTGAGGGATCACTAGCCGCTGCATTGTCCTTGACCTCATCTTCATGGTCTGTGTTCTGCTGGAAGAGGGCACATCTAAGCTCAGAGGTTGGTGTACTAAAATGCAGATGGAGGTTTAGGTGTGCAGCAAAATAGTCAGTGGCTAGTGTTTGCTCTAGCATTTCTGATCCTGGCTTAATTATATTCTGAGTGGGACTTCACTGTTAGTTATTCTATAGATCAGTAGCCCGTGATGAGCAGGGAGTCATGCTCTGTTATCTGGGAAGGAGAAATGTCTTTGGGACATGCCTCTGTGTGGCGTGTTTATGACTGCTCAGCTGCATGTAGAGCTGTATATACAGTTGTACCTGAAGTCAATGCTACTTTGTCAAAGTGAGGAATATGTGACTGCCTGGAGCTGCTGGGGAAAAGCCACATTTCCCAAAAGTATTCTCAAGAGCACCTGTCATTCAGGGGCCTGCTTGACAGGGCGCTCTTACTTTGTATCAACCAAGTGCTTTTACTCTGAAATACACAAGAGCTGATGTTAAACAGTCATTGCTTTGGTCACATGGGACAGAACACCTCTCCCTTAGACAGATGCCAGGTGATCCAGTGCCTCGTTTTCCCAAAGTGTAATTGTCCCTCCACACAGTGTAATTAATGTGAGGTGGGCAGATGATCAGAGTGTGAGTCTGTATGGAAAGGGGACTCTGAAACTGCTTTTATAGATTATGTGGAAGGCTGAGAAGGTATCAGCTGACCTAAGAGAGTGGTGAAGGGAGATGCAGACAGAGATTATATAATGGAGGGTAACACCTAAGCCTCCAGTCCCCCAGAATCACCCTGATTGTTAGAAGGAGTGACTGTCCTATGGGGTGTCACAGCTACATCCACAGAAGTTAGGGAATGTGGCACTGTTTGATGGCTCAGTGGTGAAAGTGGACTGTGTGGTGCATTCTCACCTAGTTCCTGCAGTGGCCTGTGAAATGTGGTTCTGACATCCTGGGTTGGGCTAAGAGAGAGATCTACTGATAACACTTTTAAACCAGTTCCTAAACTTCATGCAAACATTGGTCCTGATGATGGCTTTTGAGACTGTCACAGTTAGGTGCAAAGATATTCCCGTAGCTCTCTTTTGTGGTCCATTGCCAGGTCGTCCTCTCCTACCTGGGATTTAAAGTAGTTTATATATACATATTTATTTACACTTTAAATATCTGAAGCGATGCCATTTTCAGAGGTAAAGGCAGACTTGCATACTATATTCAGGCACATGAGTAAGCCCAGACAAGCTATAGACTTTGATGCTATTCTGCCCTGGGTTATATAATCTGTGTTTCTCATTGGTATCCCTGGTCAGTCTGAGACTCATGTCAATAATGTTTTTTCATGATTGTTTCATTTTTCTTGGTCATGAATTTATATACATTTCTGAATAATTTTGACAGGGATCAGCCAAGATTGTAATATCTACCTGTAATGAATGGGAATAAAGTCATTTACCTGAGAAAATAGAATATTAAGCGCACAAATACTTTCTAATACAGGGTTGTAAATTATGCTCATTTTAAGGTGTAAACACATGCTTAGGGAAGCCATTTATTCTGCTATTTCTCTGTCAACCAGCTTCAGGGGCTAACTTTAGTATCAGCTGTATTTTAAACCTTACATTTAAAAATTTTTATGACACAGTGGATAATGCCATAAATTAAGATCTGCTTTTCAAGGAGAGGTGCGGTTTTGTTGTCAATATTGAAGATCACCAGACAGACCTTAAAGATATAAGAAGTTAATGAAGCCAAGAGCCACGGTTCTGACTTCTGAGTTCTGATAAATCCTTACAGACTACACAGATGTTTCTCTGAATTTTACTGTTGTGTTTTTTTTCCTAAAACGTCAAACGTATTATCTACTTGCATGACGTCATTCACAAGTTGTTAGCTTTGCAGAGGAGTTTGAGGGAATTTGAGATTATTTTTAAGATGCAGCATTTAAAGGAGGAGCTTCATTTGTATCTAAACCCCTGCATAGCTCTTTGGTCATAACTGATGAGAAGAGGAAGTCAGTGCTGTTTTCGTGAGTCTACAGTTAGAGGGACAGAATATGTTTTTCTGAGTGGCATGTGGTTGGCCTTGAGTTCTCTAGGAATCAGTTGCAGTGAGAGACCTTAGATGGCGTTGGCTCTTAAACAAGGCAGTTCTCACAGCAGATGACCCAAAGTAAATAAATTATCTCAATCTTTGGTCCTTCAAATGAGATCTTTTTTAAAAACGTAAAGTTCAATGTGTATAATGAGTAATTTAACTATCTGTCCTAAAAAGATTTATTAAGGTTTGCGTTCGAGGATGAGAGTCACTGAGCATATCCATCCTTCTATATCTACCTACCTACCTATCTATGTATCTATCATCTATCATCTCTCTCTCATTCATCTATCAGCCTATCATTTATCTATATCCACATTTCTGTCGATCTCTACAAATTTCCTTCCGTGGTCTAAGAAGTTCTGTGTTACCCTGAGTTAACACAAAACCACTGAGAACTAAGAGTTATAGGTATTCGGAGGAACTGCCAGGCCACCAACATCATGGCTGGTGCAATTGGTTCTTCAGCTCTAGGCAAAGAATTATGGGGATGCGTGGTTCATTTAAAGTCTTTGCTCTGTTTTGGCATAACTGTTGTGGTTCTGAGCAATGTGCTTTTATTTCTCCCCTTCCTGGGCAAAATGCTATGGATACACCTCAGCAGCAGCTGTCTTCAGTGTCTTAGGAACTTTGAACTGAGAGCAGAGCAGCTGGCTCTAGCAGACATGACTGCTATCTTGTTGGGAGCATAGCTTAGACACTGGGGAAGTGGAAGCATTTCACTCTTGTCAGCCTCTCTTTGCTCAAGCCAGTTTTGCTCGTCACTATGTCCTTATTTCCCTTTGCTGCAGTTAGCAGTTACAGCTTTCTAGCAACAGTCAGGATGTGATTTTACTCCAGCAGAAGAGAAGCAAAGCCAAGGAGCGGGACTATGGGTGCTAAACACAAATGACTTGATATTCACTCCTGTGTTACAATCTGAGGAGGAAGGTCATGCCTGGAAATGGAAGTGTGGAAGGAAAGGAACAATAATGCTGAAGAGTATGCGGTGTAAGGTTTTTATAAAAGGAGCCTAGCAGTGTAAATTTAAGCAGAATAATATACTTGTGGATGTGGGGAAATCTCTTGGTAAATTAGCAGATTTGGAACTAAAGTTTTCCACTGTGGTATAAAGATGAGGCTGACACTGAAGAACAAGGGGAGCCATCCTAAGCAGAGGGAAAGAAAGGGATGCTGTGAACAGAGTCTCAGACTGGTCCTTAGACTGGCAGTGAGGACGATGTTGAAGATGCTCACATGAGGAGCAGTGTCTGGCAAAAGGAAAGGGGCTGCTCCAAATGGCTCTTAGACTAGCAGCATCTGACCTACTGAGTCAGTGCCTGAGGATGAGGTCCCGCAAGCCTAACAAACCTGGCAGGGGATCCAAACGCAGCCTGAAGCCTTGGCTGCACAGGTGTTGCCAGTTAAGCAGGTTCCTTGGCAAAGACAGATTTGTGTGTGATTCCTTGCCTAACCTCTCAAAAACTGGCTTTGTTCCCCATGGGTTTCCCTCCCAAACGCCTGGGAAAGGGTGATAGAGACCATGAGTAGAGGATGGAAGTGACTTGACATGGGAGTCCAAGTGTAACAAGAATGACCGTCACTTTTCAGTCACCAGTATAAGATGTTACTTAATATACAGCCATCTGTGAGTTTTATGTGTTCAGTAAGTCAGTTTAAGGAAAAGCCTTACACACTTTTCTAGCATAGTGATATACATTTTAATATATAATTCAGAAAAAATTAAAAGAACAATACTTCAGGTACATAGCAGGCATATAATAAGCATCTATTGAGATTGGTAATCTCAGTACATCAGTCCACCCACATTCTCCTGTCTGCTTTACACCCAACTAATAGGATGTGAAGGCTTGAAACCCAACAGTAATACCCCACTGACTTGTTTGAGTTACAGTGTCAGCACATGATAAGCTCATCTGAAGCTTTTGGAAAAAAATGGACATTGTACTTGATGATTTTATTCATAGTAATTAAGATGGGTCCTGACTTACTCCAAAGCCCACATACCCAAATTCTCCCAGAGAGATGTATGATGAAGGAGTTCACTGTATTTGGGAAGGTGTTCTGAAAACTGCCTAGCACTGGTTCCCTAGACTCTGCATGTGTCCTCTTTCCTATCTTAAAGACCAATTAAAACCACCTGTTGCGCTGGGCTGTGGTGGTGCACGCCTTTAATTCCAGCATTTGGGAGGCAGAGGCAGGTGGATCTCTGAGTTTTAGGCCAGCCTACAGAACAAGTTCCAGCAGGACGGCCAGGTCTGTTACACAGGGAAGCCCTATCTTTGGAGGGGTGTCTTTATGGTGACTCATGCCAGTGATCCTAGAATTGCAATGCAGAGGCAGGAGGATTCTAGATTGAACCACATAGCAAGTTTTGTCTTTTAACAAACAATTGGAAAAGCTTTTTCTAAGGTTTTAATAATGCAAATGTTTTCTTTCTCTGAAAGGTAGTTCTGACCCTTGTAGAATCTTTAGATATTTAAAATTGCAGAATGAAAGAAGATAATTTTGAAATAGCTTCTGGGTAGCTTTTTTAACTACAAGCTGAAGCCACCCCAACATCATGGTAACATTTAGTTCCTACTGTCTAGGATCTCAGCCAGTACCCCTCTTTGCAGTTTTTGCAAAGCAGCCATTCCAAACCCTGTTAACCTCAGCCTCTCAGCAACTAATCTTGCCCTCCCACCCATGACTGACTTAGCAGAGCGTCCTACTCCCTCTCAACCACACTTCCTCTCAGTACCCGAGTACCTGTGGAGCTGTCTTGCCCAGGTCTTTTGCCCTCAGCCTTCATGATTTGTGCATTGCTTGGGCTAGCTATATATAGCCTCTTGTTACAGACATTTTTGCATTTTAATATGCTCAGAAACTACCCCCTTCAAACAAAATACCCCTCCTTCAACTCTGGACCCCTGCCCACCACTGAAGCATGGCTCCTACTCTATCTTTAAATTCTGTTTTTCGTTGAAGCGGGGTTTTAGCTCTGTGTGCACATGTAGATCAATTGGGAGTTTTAAAAGTGGTAATGGTTCATCAGGTGAAAGGCATTTGTCAACAAGCTATGCATAATTGTGTGTACATGTGATTAAAACCAGATGCATTGTAGGAGGGGACATACACAGTAGATGACTTTGTGACCCAATCTATCAATCAAAGCACTGTTGTCAGTAAGGTGTTTTCTCTGCCATTGTATCTTCTACCTTGTAATTCTATATATAAAAGGTATTGATTTTTGTATGTTAATTTTATTTCCTGCTACTGACTTGTTCTACTTGTGGGAGTTAATTTTACCATTAATCCACTGGAGTAAAAAGAAAAGAAATCTTCCTAAATGCACAGGGGATTGAATGGAAAGCAGAGTCTACAGTGGTTAAAATTGTGTGTGTGTGTGTGTGCGCGTGTGTGTGCGCGTGTGTGTGCGTGTGTGTGTGTGTGTGTGTGTTCACGTGAGAGAGAGAGAGACTGAGAGAGTTTCTTCCATGGGAGGCAAATAGACAATGTCATCTTTTGCCCTAAAAGTGTTCGCCAAGTCCCAGTGAGTTTTTGGTGTGAAGACTGAGGTGAGCCACCTGAGGTCAGGCATGGGATGCTCAAGGAAGAGGGGGGGGTCTCAGCTGAAATCTCTCACAAAACCAACTCCCTTCAAACATGATGTCTGCTAGTGTGGGTAAGTACTAAATAAATCAATGAACTGTTACAAACTAGTTTAACTTTCTGCATCTTGACCCTAGTGGAAGAAATGTCATTTTTTACTTAAAAGTGTTTAGCAAGTTGTCTTTGGCATAGATTTCTGTTCAATATATACTGCTTATGTGGTCTGAAACTTTCAGTGGACCTGGATCTGTCATAATTTCAGCTGACTAGCAGAAGCAACCTCAAAACTCTGCACTGGTACACTTCCATCCAGGAGTCAAAGTACTCCCACAGGCAAGGTGATGTGGAGACTGAGCCCACAGCTAAAGCCATAAACCAACGTAGGAAGTGACACATGCAGCCAAGATAGGAACATAAGTAAGGTGATGCGGTGAACATTCTTAATCAGGAAAACGGAAAACCTCCCCAAGTAATTTACCAGAATTCTACAATCAGGGGAAATGAGAAGATGGGTTAGTTCTGTGACATTAAACAACGCTGATTGTGGTTTCAAATTTGGGATTGTCCTCTTCGTAGAAAGGTCGTGGCCTACGCCACCCTACACATGATGATTCTTACTGGGCACTAGTTCATGAGAAGACTGATTTGAAAGAACACAGGAAGACAACCAGCCTCAGAAAACTGAAAAAGCACTTGGAAGAGAGACTTACCCTACTCCATATTGACATGAAGTCTAACTCTGAAAGTGTTGTACAGCACGTGAATAGGCAGTGGGGAAGATAGATAATTCAGAAATAGGCTCAACTGCTGAAGAAAGTTGTGGATACAGTGAAGTTGTTGCCCCCCAGGCATGGGGGTGGGGCGGGGTGGCCCGAGATAAACTAGAAGACTGAAGGATGGATGCTGGGACAGCTGTTTAGAATACCACAGATGGCTGTACAGGAAAAGGGATATGGGACCTGCTCCTCACACTGTATGACAGGATAATGTCCAGATTGAGGATTTGATTATACAACACTAGGTACACAATTACTAGGGAAAATAACAGGTGATTTCTCTTTAACAGGAGTCAGCAGGGTATGGCTGCTGATGGTCTACACTTTGCCCAGTGCGTGTCTCAGCTGCTAGGTGCTGTCATGTTTGTTTGGTTTATTTTTCCCACAATTTGGGAATTCAGTAGGAAAGGAAAGGCACAAGATAGAGATGTTCTGTGGTTGCAAATTCTAAAATACTAAGAGTTTTTGTAAGAAAGATAGCCCTACTTGTAACTTGGGAGGAGGTAAGCTTCCTAGGCACGTTGGTCAGCTGCTGGGTTCTAATGGTTAGCCCTGCTCTTTTTTCCTTGCTCTCCTTGGACCAGCAGGAAAACATAGACCACCTTTGTTGGAGAGGATTGTAAGTTCATATGGCAAAGGGTGGGGATGCAGGGAGAGTGAGGGATTAGAGACATGAATCCTCACAGCCTCTTGAAATTCAGGTGCAGCTGGAATCCTTTAGCTCCTGAAGCAAACAACTAAACTTTTGAATGCACTTATGCCATAAGCAAACAAAAATGCAATAACTGGGATGCATGTTTGTAATTTACATCACTGATTATGGCTAAACTCAATGTATAAGAAACTTAAAAACTATATATTCCACAGAAAAATTGGGAATAAATTTGAACAGGCTGCTCAGATTGTTTTGTTTTGTTTGTTTTAAGTAAAAATAGCTGTTAAACATTTGAAGGGGTGCTCAGATTTCCAAACAGCCATTTGGTATGCACAGCCACTTAATGAGCAAGTGCTCCCCCCATCCTTGTTTTAAAAGGCAAGGGAACTGAATCCTGAGGAGGTAAAGTATTCTGCTGAATACCAGTAGTAAGCAGTGGAGCTAGGATTGCATCCAGCCAGATGGCTGTAGATAAGACTAATTCACCATGACTAAGTGATGCTTATTTCAGGAATATAAGGATCATTTAATACAAGGAATAGCTGGGTGTCTCCTGCATATGATAAAATATATTTATCTCAATCTGAAGCCAGCTTCGTGCTTAATTGAGAATACCAGAAGCAATTTCATTAAAGCCAGGAACAAGACAAAGATGTCTACTAATCATCGCTATTATTTAAAGTTGTTCCACAGGACGTAGACAAAACAATTAGACAAGAGAAGGAAATTAAAGACAGAAATTAGAAGGGAAGAGAAGATAAAGTTCCAAGTCTCAGATGAAATGATTGGATTGTTTGCCTAGAAGCAAAAGAAGAGTAACCAAAGATAAACAAAATGATTTGCAAAATTAATTTTCAGAAAACAATCATCTTTATATACATGGCATTCAATTTCATGCCTTAAGAGAAAATATTTTTACAATAGCAGAAAACAAAAAATAAAATATTAGGAATAAATTTGCAGAAAAAAATTTAAATACCAGTCAGAAGCCAAACAAATTCCAATGAAAATAAGACCAAATGAAAAGACTACCATGTCCATGTTCTTTCATAGGAATGATCAGCATGATGAAGCCATGACTTCCTCATGTTTAATCTGTCAATTCAGTGTGATATCCGGGGTTGGAGAGATGGTGCAGCACCTAAGAGTGCTTGCCATACTTCCAGAGGATTCAGTTCCATACTTCCAGAGGATTCAGTTCCCAGTGCCTGAATCATGCAGCTCATAACTACCTGTAAGTTCAGCTCACAGGGATCCAGTGCCTGCTTCTGAACTCTGTAGGCATCCACATGTATATGTACCTACACACATGATACAAAATAAGGGTAAATATGCTATCTAAGAAGCATAGTAGTAGGCTTTTTAAAAATAAGATTTACAGAAGCTAATTTTAAAATTCACATGGAACAGGGCTATGGTAGTGCACACCTTTAATTCCAGCACTCAGGAGGCAAAGGCGGGTAGATCTCTGAGTTTGAGATCAATGTGGTCTACAGAGTGAATTCCAAGACATCTGGGAGTACACAACAAACCCTCTCTCGAAAAACAACCAAAAAAAGTGATGAGCGAGACTCCAGTATACATTAACATTTACATATGTACAACAGTTACAGTGTGGCAATAATTTGTAAATAGAGGAGAACAGAATGGTTCAGAGATAATATCAACACATGGGAGCTGAGGCTATGCTAAAGGGAGCTTTCAAATCAGTGGGATAGGGACCACTCCATGTGTTCTGGAAAAGTGAGCAGTGGCATTCTTCACTTCTCACACCAGCAGTCTGCACACAGACCTGTGTGAAATAACAGTGTTTACAGGAGTGTACTTGTATGTGTGGAGGCCAGAGGGGCCATTCCTCAGTAGTCATTCGTACAGAGGATTGAATTGAAGTTCCCATGCTTGGGCAGTAAGCACTTACCAACTTAGCTAAAAATTGTCAAGTGGAAAGGCCTTTCTAAGCATGAGCCAAGAAGCTAGAAAAGTTTACTTGATTTGATTGTTTTTTAGATTATTTATTTATTATGTATACAATGTTCTGCCTGAATGTATGTCTGCAGCCAGAAGAGGGCACTAGATCTCATTACAAATGGTTGTGAGCCACCATGTGGTTGCTGGGAATTGAACTCACGACCTCTGGAAGAGCAGTGAGTGCTCTTAACCTTTGAGCCATCTCTCCAGCCCCTAGATTTGATTTTTATACATATAAAAAGTTTCTTGAACTAGAGACTGTAACAGGAGCGTGGGCCCTTTATTTGTCCCAGCTAGCTAGCTTACACCCAAAATAATCACACAAAAACTGTATTCATTTAAACACTGCCTGACCCATTATCTCTAGCCTCTTATTGGTTAATTTTCACATCTTGATTTAACCCATTTCTAATAATCTGTATATCACCACGAGGTTGTGGCCTACCGGGAAAGATTTAGCATGTCTGATTCTGGCAGCTCCATGGCGATTTTTTGTCTCTCTGCTTTCTTTCTCCCAGAATTTAGTTGTCTTCTCCACCTACCTAAGTTTTGTCCTGTCAGGCCAAGCAGTTTCTTTATTCAACCAGTGAAAACAACACATAAACAGAAGGACCTCCTACACCAAGAGCCCTCAGCAGTTAAGAGCACTTGTTCTTCCAGAGGACCTGGGTTTAATTCCCAGCACCCACATGGCAGTTTACAATAGTCTACAGCTCTAGTTCCAGGGGATCCAGCATCCTCTTTTAGTCTCCCTCTTCAGGGCTCCAGGCATGCACATAGTAGTACAAACACATGTGTAGGCAAAATACCTGTACACATAATAAATAAAAAATAAGACAACATAGTCTAAGTTATCTGCCATTTTCTGTTCTTTGGTTGTTGATAGTGGGCTTCAGTATATTTTAAGTGTATTTTCTATCTCATAACATCGTAATTGCAGGGGTTGGAATTCTCTGCGGGAGGGGGTAATGACTGAGTCCTCAAGGAATAGACTGTTCACTAAGAACATTTCCAAATAAAACTGAATGAGATCACACAGGTACCGATGCACAAATCATCACACAGAACACAGGGAACACACACACAAAAACAAGACAAAATGATGCCTCCAAAAGACACTGAATCCTTAACTACCAAATCTTAAAAATACTGAAATCGTTAGGCAAACAACCCAAAAGTCTGCTTGTAAAAATGATCAGTGACTTCAAAGAGGAAATGAAGTAGATCAGTGAAGTAAGGAGAAAGAACAT